GCGTTTACATTTCTACTGTTTGTGTACTACATTTCTATTCAAACAGACATTTGAGACAGCACAACGAGCATATAAATGTAAATAAATGTAAAATAACAGAACAAATTTCACTAAACAAGACAACTGCATTAACAAAAACAAAGCAAACGGTATATAAAGATGTGTTATATTAATATTTATACGCCCCAACACTGGTTAGTAACACATAATGATATTCCTTTGGGGGGTGGGGGAGTAAGTGTCGCCTCCAGACAGTCAGTGTCAATGTCAAAGGTTACAGACATTGTTTAGGTTCCTACTGTTACTCTATAGTTGACACTGTTCATAAACAACCGCGGTGTGGTCGTGTTACTGTATCAAATCGTTGCCTGCAGGCTCTTAAACTTGTGCATCGGGGAGCACATCAGGTGCCGCTGTTTATTTTTTGCGTCATCACAATGTGCAGATTAGATCGCTACGAGCTGCTGTTGTGCTCCCAGCAGCGAGCAGGCCTTTAAACATGCACCCGAAACCCCCCGTGTGTCAGTCGAAGGAGGAGAAAAACACAAAGCTCCCACTCGCCCAACAAGCTATGTGTCGCTTCTTTCTATGTTTTGACAACACAGGAAACTCCTGACTATCGAGAGAGAGAGAGAGAGAGAGGGGGGAGTTCAGGGCTGCTAACCATGAGCGGGTTTAGCAGTTAATGCAGGAAAACACTTCTCCCTTTTTCCACTGCCCCCCACGTTGCCCTGGCAACATTGCAACCTCGGCGGTGCATGCGAGGTCCAATGCATGGGCATGCACCGAAAAATGCATCCGCGGGCCTTCCTTGTTTCTGACGCTACCGGGGCGAGAACCGGAGCGCTAGCCGCAGCCTCGTAGCATCCCAAAGTAGCCCTGTATCGATGACAACAACAACACACACACAAAAAAAAAAAGGCCACCGCGCACTTACAAAACAAAGAGGCGTTATTGAACATCCACCACTTCGATAAACATCCTCTAGCACGCTTGTGCGCATCGGAATCTGCGTGTGAGCGAACTTAAATGTTGCCGGCTGCGCAGCTAACTCCGGCTAGCTGCTAACTAGCGACGGGCACTCATGGCGCTCGACGCTAGCGGAGCTCGGTTTAATCAATGCAACGTTTCACTTGCCTCAACAAAACAGGCTCAAACTGGGAGTTTCGTTACCTGCTTTTCGCCGTCGTCATTGCTTGACAGACGGAGACACGTTGGGTTTGCGGTACGGGTGGCTCGGTTCGGTGCAAATGGCAGATTTTCGGTGGTACGGGGGCGAGAATAAGCCACAGGATACCGAATAAACTCCGGTCAGGGGAGACAAAGCAGTGGGACCATCTTGCTGTGGACGCAGTAAAATGGCGCATCTAGCCTAAATCCTGCGAGCCTTCCCATTGGCTGAGCGATCTCCCGCGCTGACTGGTCCAGGCTGTTTGAGGCTCACCGGGGTTTATTGATTCGTTTAGCCGAGGAGAGAGCCTCTTTCTGGGGGGAAGTGAAACGCTGCTGGCTCTATTTCCATTTCATTCATTTGCTGATACAGTGAGGGGCGCGATGTTTTGTTTCTACATCCGTGCTCCGGTTGTCAGCATTAGATAGATAGATAGATAGTTAGACAGACAGACAGACAGA